CAAGAGAAGATCCGTTTCAAGATCACCGAATAAAAATTCGAAGGATAACGGGAAAGATATGCCCGACGTTAAGATCGAACGAGAAGATTCGCCGCAACCGGAAAACGCTATACCTTTGATGCCAGTTAAAACCAAGCCGTAAATAACAAATCATATTTATGTGTTGTATTGAAATATATTTTATTTTGTATATTTTAAATTTTATGTTTTTTCTTCATAGGGAAGCCGCAGTAGCAATATCAAGATTGCAAGCCAAATTGATGAGCATTGCTGATGGAAAGAAGAAAAATAATCGCACACCATCACCGGAATCGGTGGACAAGTCAGCAAGGAAATCGCGATCTGCATCTAAATCGCCAACGAATCGTTCAAAGAAATCTAGAAGTAAGTCACCTAGCCGAGATTCAAAGACACGTCGATCACGATCGCCCGCTTCAAAGTCAAGACGATCTCGTTCAAAATCAAGATCTAGAAGATCTCGATCTAAATCTAGAAGATCAAAATCGCGCTCGCAGGACCGTACGAAGTCTAAGCGAAGCAAATCCAAATCGCCAAGATCACGATCACGATCGCGATCACGATCACGTTCACGATCCAAGAAATCCCGATCCAAGAGTGAGGACAGGAGCAAGTCGAGAAAATCAAGATCCGTCTCGAGTGACTCGAGATCGTCCAAGTCCCGCTCGAAGTCTATGGAGAAGCAAAAGGCCAATGCAGATTCCAATAGAAAACGCAGTGGTAGTACGAGCAGCAGCTCTGAATCAGAAGTGGACAAAGATGGAAAGGATAAGAGCGACTTTGAGATACGAAAGAAAAAGGATGGCGTGCAAGCTAAGAGATCGTACAGGAAAACCAACAAAGATGATAGTGGTAGTGATAGCGACTCTAGTCGGGAAAGAAAATCAGCTCCTAAGCGAAGAAGTCCTTCGCCACGTAAAGATAGAGGACGATCTAAGGATAGAGACAGAAATAGATCACGAGATAGATCACGAGACAGATCGCGAGATAGATCACGAGATAGATCACGCGATAGATCACGAGATAGGAATCGAAGGTAAGATTTATAAATCTTTGATGTAAATTTAATCTTCAATTGTAAAAGTTATCTAAAAGATATAATATATATTTATATGCATATAATTATTTATGTACACGTATTACAACTTTCCTTGTATTATCAAGAGACAGTTGTATCTTTTGCGCCAAATCAGGTGCAGCAAATATTACAATGCAATATTGTTGGCGGTATATATCTTAATCTAATTGTACTACAAAAAGTTTAGTAAGGAAATCGACAATTTATATGAATTTTTGATGCCTTTTATCTTTTAGAAGATCATTGGACCGGGATCGCGACAGGAGGAGGGACCGAGAGCGTGAAAGAGAGAGGGAAAGGGAGAGATTAGACCGATACAGCGGCAGCCGCAGTATGCGACCACCTTCGGTGCGCAGACCGCTTAATAGGCGAAGGTTGGTATTCTTTTGTGTATTAAATAAATTTATCTTTGCATTGTGTGCATGAGAAATTGTTCTAGCAGTCCCCCACGCAGAAGTCCGGCGAGATATCGTCGTAGGTCACCGAGTCCTGAAGACAGGCGTCGCAGGAGATCACTGGATCGTCGAAGACGATCATCGGAGAGACGCGATAGGCGCCGTTCGCCCGATCGACGTGGTAGCCGACGTTCGCCGGATGGACGGGATCGATCGAGCAGGTATGATAGATCTTCCTCACGCGACAGATCAAGTAGACGGGATCGCTCCAGAGAACGACGGGATAAGGATCGTCGATCTAGATCTAAGGATCGTAGATCGAGATCCAAGGATCAAAGATCATCGATGGATCGTTCGAGAGACGAGAAGCGGTCTCCTGATCGTTCGAAGGGTACCAAGGATAAAGCAAAGGACAGGAAAGTGGATGAGAAAACTAAAAGACCGCCTGATACAGGATCGCGAAAAGAATTACGAAATGGCCGGTCTAAATCAAGTAGCTCGGAAAGTAGCGAGAGTAGTTCCTCTAGCAATGAGGACGAGTCACTTAGGTGAGTGAAATTTTCACTTTGAACACGATACTTTCACGGAGTCTGCAATCGATGGATACTTGGTCGTGGTGTATCTATGTTCGTTGAATAATGTTCTACAAAAAACGTGCTTGTGATCTGTTTGCAGGAAATCGGTCGAACGCAAACCGCCACAAGAGAAGCGGGAAAAAGAACGTGAACACGCAGATGATGCCAAGAAGAAGGAGAAAGAAAAAACGGTGAAAGAAGAACCTGCTAAGCGTCCAGAAAAAGAAATTAAGAAGATAGAACCAGTCGCTGTGAAAAAGCCCGAGCCTAGTGTTTCTCCTAAAAAAATTCAAGCTACATCACTTCCTGTTACCAGACACAGAGTAAGCTTAATAGGTTCAATTAATTATTTACTTATCACATGATTAATAAAAAAAATTCAATTTTATATGTACAATAAATAAAATTATATTGATAATATAAAGGAAAATATTATTACGCTACTCTTTTATAAAAATTTCAATTTTTTTCTTTGTTTTCAAGTTCTCGAAGAGTTTATCGCGTACACCTTCGCCGTTTAAGAAGACCGAAGACATCGTGGCAGTAGCTAAAATTAAACAGACGATTAAGTATGTTGCAAGATATTTGCATAATTAAAATTTTAATTATTACGATTGTGTGTATATTTTATTTCCAGAGAAGACACCAAGGACGAATCACCGACGACGAAGACTGGAGAAGTGAATTTTACCACTGGAGATGCTTTCCCTTTAAAGAAGGATGAGAAGTCTTTGAAATCGACAAAATTAGTAACAGAAGATAAAAAATCTACTCAAAAACCATTGGAACTTCCATCCAAGAAACCTGTAGAAATGGCTAAAAAAACAAAAAGAGAAAAGCGTGATGGTTCTACAGACAGTGAGGATAGTGATGGTGAAGGTAAAAAATACATTTAATTATAGTTAATAACATATAATAAATATATTAATGTTTTTCTCTTTTATAAATTTATTTTACAGGTAAGAGAAAAGTGAAAAAAACAGAAAAATCAAAGAAGTCTAAGAAAACTTCGACAGATGAAGATAAATCTGATAAGAGCAGAGCTGGATCCAGTTCGGATTCTGAAGATGATAGAAAGCATTCAGATAAAAATAAGAAAGTTAGAGATACTAGCCGAACCGGTAAGTTTTTCGTATCAAATATAAATAATTAGCATGTTATAATTTATTTAAATATATAGTATAATTTATAAATAACATTCAAATACACTTTATAAGTATGTAATTTACATATAAATAATAATAAATGTATAGTAATTTTATAAATAATTTTTATTATAGATTCAATAGATGATCGTAATAAGGATAGAAAGGATACTAGAAAACGTGAAATTGCCGAAAATGACTCGCGAAAGCGTTCAAGAAAGGAAACGGAAGAAGAATTAAAAAAATCAAAAAGATCACGAAGAGATTCTTCTTCGGGTGAAGAAGAGCAAAAATCTAAAAGAGGTAAAAACGAAGATGACAGATCAAGATCTCGAAAATCGAAGAAAGACTCTAGTTCCGATGAAGAACCTAAAAAAATGAAAAAGAAGAGAGATACCTCATCCGATGATGAAAAATCTAGATCGCGAAAGTCCAGAAAAGATTCGACAAGTGAAGATGACTCTAAATCAAAATCGAAGAAATCGAAACGAGATTCCAGCTCAGAAGATGACGATCCTGGAGATAAAGATTTGAAGAAGAAAAGAAAAGTTGATGATAGCTCGGACGATGAAAAGGTGAAAAAGAAGCGTAAGAAAAAGACAAAAACCAGCACCAGTGAATCGGAGGTAACGACTTTATAGACAAATTTATTGCAACAAATTTATTATCTTTAATCGTTTATTAATTGAGCTTTGATACTTTCAGGAAAGTGAAGTCGAAGAGAAGAAAAAAAAGAAAGAAAAGAAGCACAAGAAACACAAGAAACATAAGAAGCACAGAAAGCACAAAAAGAAGAAAGTTGCGGATTCAGATGAATCTGATGTAAGTGAAGGTAATACTGAAGAACTGGAAAAGAAACTTCGGGAGAAGGCATTAAAATCAATGAAAAAAGGACATAGCATTGAACGAAGTGATTGAGGTTAATATATGATCTTCGAAAATGTGTCATGCATGTATCTCTTTATCGCAAAGCATTTTAATTGTATTATGAATATGAATAACTTCCGTTTCTTATCAATAATTGGATTCTTACTTATCACTCAATCCCTTCGGAACAAGATCAAATGGTATTCACATTGTGTGAAGTAGTTCACATAAATATATTTAAAAAACATATTATATATATATATATAATTATATATATATCTATATGATTTATACATATATATTTATATATGTATAAAATTGATATTCTCTTCACATTTTATTAAGATTTGTTAGAATTACGTGATGACTCATTTTCTCGTATCAGTGTACAGAGTGTACTTATTCATATTGATACGAATATTCATGTATACTGATATAATGTAAAGATTTTACATGTTTTAAAGAATCCGATAGAAAATATCGTACATTTTTTTAGTTCCTAAGTTCAAGTGAAATTAGGACTCGTATACACAGCGATTCATTTGAGTTAATTTGTATAAAGCTTAGTTTTCATTACAGTGTTAGATAATAATATAGTATACTTGAATGATAATGTTACAGCAACTTGTACAAGTCGAAGAACAATCGAAAACCCATTTGCAAAAACTATGTGTTCCCAAATGATATAATCGTTTCTGTTTTACAGTGACTCCTAATTTCTCCTAGACATCAGAATCGCCATACCGAATTTGCAGACGTAATGTAATTTATTTAATAATTTACGTAATTTGCTAGTATAAAAAATATAGAAGTATTAAAAATTATAATCCGCATTATATATATTGTTCACGAATCTCCTACAACTAAACATCCTTTTATACAAATATTTTTTATTAAAGATGATACATATTTATAAAATTTCTTATGAATTTTCTAATATAGATTCAAAGTCTGGAGAACAAATTAATTTATTGCTCACTGAACCAAGATTGACAAGTTCACCGGTTTGTGATGCATCTATTTTTACAGCTAAAAGGTCCTGAAAAGTAATTAATTATTGAGGATTACAACAGTATTATATTCCTTAAATTATAAGCTATAAAAATATAATTTTATACTTGTTGGAAACGTTGCTGCACTCCAATATCAACGAAAAAACTCATTTCGCCGAAACGTAATCTAGCTTTACCAGACTTCAAAATTTCGAGTTTGCCTAAGAGACCACTTCTTAAATTATTTAAAATACAAAACTCAGTTTTTGCTTTATTATCATTCTCACTACGAGTATTCGAATTATTTGATTGTTTCGATCCTGCTTCCTCTCTACTGGATACCAAACCGGGCAAAGATTCTGGAAACTGTTGATCAATTATTAAATTAAGTAACGATTATAATGAAGTACAAGATATCCTTACTTGAATTAATGTATAAGAATTAGCCTTGCTTTCGATTATTTGAGAAATAGTAAGTTCTTCCTTTTTGTCTTGCCTGCTTTTTTCTTCATTTATGACTATGAAAGAAAAAAATTGTTTAAATTAATAAATTACCAAAAAGAATATTATACACTTACTTTAATAAATTAATAAATTAATAAATTACCAAAAAGAATATTATACACTTACTTTCACCATTTTCCGAAATGACCGGCTTCTTATCGATCTTATCATTATCGATCATATCATGTATATCTTTTCTAATTCTTGGTAACGTGAGAGGGCACATTTTTTCATCAATTTCCGGAGCATCATCAATAAAATCATCTCTTAACAGATTTTTTAATTTTCTGTCTTCTTCTGCCTTAATCTTATTTGTACTTATTTTTGGTTCCTCCGAATATTTTGCAGTACTCGCTGTGCTACTAGAAGCTCTGGAACCTTCACTCTTTCTAGCGGTAGGTGTTACATAGAGTCCATCTGACCAAATGCCAACAGACTAGAAATATAGAATAATCTTATGATTTATTAAATTATTAAATTAAAATGTAAAGTGAAGACTTAAGAATAAAATTCAAAGATAATAAAATAGAGGTTTATAAGTTGAGGTAGTTATTTGTACTATTACGTACTACAAATAATGGAACGTTTACGTATTGTTTATGTTAAGTTTACACAAATTTTTTTCATTATGTAAACACTATAAGCAATGTAAAATACATAAATTATTATTATAAATTGAATAACATATTACAGAAAAAAGTAATTAAATGTATCCATTTAGTATTGATAAATAAAAATATATAAGCGAAATAAAAATAACTTAAGTTGCAGTCTAATGCAACGACAAAGAACATTAGTTTCAATGATTTATAGATTGTTTACATAGATGTGGTATGTAAAACATAGTTTACATAGTTTACATTATATATACGTGAATGTAGATTATATTTTACGTAATTTTATGTAAACGAAGAACCCTTCTGAAGGATATTTAGAATACCAACATTACCTGTATTATATTTCCTTTATCTCCTCTTCCACGTCCTCTGTCTCCTCTCCCTCGTTCCCTTCCACGATCGCTGTTTTTCGGTTTCACCAGATCAGTTTTGACTGAAATCGCTGGACCGCTGTAATCAAATTACCTTTAGCATCTGTACTGTGTCACAAGTTGATTAATAACTTACTCTTTCTTTTTATTCCTTTGTACATTGAGATTTGGCGTATACACTTTCTTTGGTTTTTCAACCTTAATATTTCCACCTAGTGTCAGGTCTCGTGGTAGCCGATAGGATATCAACCTCTGTGTGGTGGTGGGTAAACCTGGTTCCACTTTAATGCTTTTCACCCTCTCTGAAAACGATGTCGACGGTAATGCGGACGTGCTGGGTTCTGACATGTTAGGTTCTGACTCTGACGTGCCAGGTTCTATCTTTATTCGAATGTTCGTGTGAAGAGTGTCGTTCGAAATAACAGAATTGTCCGAAGACATGTTCAATCAATGTTCAATGGATCTCTTGTTTATAATACACTGGCCCGCTGGGCGCCTGCGTCTATGACTACGTCGATGACTACGATGCTTGCACGTCGCACGGATGCGCGCTCAGAGTAGTTTCAGTATAAAAAATGCACGATCGAAGTCGGCAACACTTTCAAAAAATTAGGGATGTAATATCTAAGTCGAGACGTTCATCCCGGTTTGGTTCACGTTCGTCACGAGACTTGGGAGCAAAGCTCTAGATATAAAGTACTGTCCAACAAGAACTTTCGAGACTGTCCGAGACCAGTCCGAGACTTTTAATAATACGGTGGCACAGTGTTGTTAGGTATGCCGCTTTTTTAGCGCATGCGCACTACAGTACTAGTGACTTCTAGAGAAATAAAAAAAAATCGATCTTTTTGATTGAATCGTACATCCCTATATTACAAATCAAAATAATTACAGATGGTAATAAAGAAATACCGTTACCTACCTATGATAAATAAATATGAAACATTTATTCAGTGAACTCAACAGTTCAGCAAACAATCATTGTTATTAGTGTAGTCATATCGACCTCCTATTGATTGTTTGGAGGCGTGAGCCATAAAAGAAGAATTGTTATTAGTGTACTTTTTAAACGTCTAATTAGACGTTTAGATTTAAAGAAATATACCAGCAGCAACAAGCATTCATTCAATTGTTGGGTCCATTGAACGTATTTATTGGGCACTTTCCAGTTGTAAAATCACTAATACTATACACTTTCGTGCATGTGGCAACACAAGTTGTGTTCCAGGGCATTTTTCAACAATACACTCAATAGATTTGTTCGCGTCGCATGATCCAATCAACATATTCTTACCATAGTTCCTATTTACTCCAACAAGCGCATTGGAGAGAGTAGGAACAGAGAGAAACCTGAAAGTGGACATTCGGACCTTTTTTGTGTATCAAACCTTATGTCCTTATAGGTACCTGTCACCTACGAGATATTATTAAAGGCCGACATCCTTACGGGAGTTCGCGTCCTTGCAAATATTGAAGTGATTAAGAGTTAAAAACTGATAATATTGTACTAATTTTATGATTTATTAATTTAGTAGACATATTAAGCATTTAGAACTCAATAATACTAGATTTTTTTTTTAAATTGTGATTTCAGTGTTATCGTCAAAGTTTGATTATCAACAGAAATGATAACTGCAGAGAAAAAATTGTAATTTTTTTGCAATCTATAGGATATTATAGCTTTACAAGTATGCATATTTATTTATGGAACATTTATGTAATAAAAATCATGAATTTAATAATGTATGAGCCAAATGTTTATGTTAATAATAGCAAATTTATATTAATTGTCAATAATATCAGCGTTCTTCAATTACCTCCGGGCCCTTGGAGCCCTTTTTATACCGTCGAAAATTTGCCCAGGGTTGACAGTTTAATAGTATATCTCGTCGATGGTACTGTCCACGTTTTTGTGGTTCTCTTGTACTATTATGTGGGTTAGATAAGGACGAACAATCAACTTTGATTGTTCATCCTTGTCTAACCCATGTAATAGTATAATGGAACCATAAAAACGTGGACATTAGGTATCTACGAGGTTTAATACACGATAAAAATCGGAATATCCACTCTCAGGTTTTTCTCTGGTAGCAGCTTTGATAAAAGAATGTTGGAGCATGTTGTAGCATGCGACGCGAACAAATTTAGTGGATCATAAATTAAGGTGTAGATACAATAGAAGGAATAAGGAATTAAGATTAATGAAAAACGATTTCAATCTATCAGAAATCGAATACATCGGAATGTACGATTTCTAATAAATTAAAATAGTTATTCCTTATTCCTTTTTTAAGTTTTATTTTTAAGTGTTTCCACCTTTATATCCTTATTGTTTGTCAACATTGAACAAGGATGAAATGATTCACTGTATTACACTGTGTCCTTGCTAGAAAATGTCCTCAATTGCCGTAATCATTGACACAACACATCCGCACTGAGTCCAAGAGCTACTAGTCGGTTGTGTAAGTTTATGTTTTTAATGACAATTACATGTTACTAATCGCAGCAGCTATAAATGAGATTGGAGGACATTGAACGTGGCCGGCATTTTTTCTTTTTTCATTCAATATAGGTGGCAAAAGCTACATTTAATCTAACTCTATTCGAAACCGTGCATAGCGTAATTCTGTTCCAATTAAGTTGTACATAATGTTACACTTTGGGTACTTTCCATTTAGATATACAAATCGATATAAACGTCATTCTATCTTTTTTTGCATTTCATGAGTAGTGACAGAACGATATTTATGATGATATATATCACTAAATGGAAAGCACCCACAATGATCTCTCGATACCTCGTAAATGTTTGTATTGTAAATCGTATTTGTATAAATCGCATTTAACAAGTAAATCCTGTTAGAGTTTGATCATTACGCCAGCATCCTCTTATGGTTTTTCTAATGATACTTAGATTATTTAGAAATTCGCAAATTAAATATTTTATCGAAAAGCGCTTCTGATTTTACAAATTTAGGTAAGATGTACGTATGTTTGATGAGTAACTTACGAAATCGTTAAATTTTCACCGAATTAAAAAAAATTGATTTCAAGGAAATTTTTACTTAAGTAGGTCACAGAAATCATAATAATATCATAAAAACATTATCTTGATCTTATTCGTCACTTATTAAGCTCATTTTTAAATATCAAATAACGTCATGACGACGTCCCATGATATCATTATGATTTAATTATGACTGTGTGTTCTACCTGAATAATTTCCGTCTATAAATTGTGAAAAATTAGGAAACGCGGTGTATCCTCTCCCACGCGGTCGCGTCTGCTCAGTCTGCTGTGTCCGCAGATAAGCGGTATCTGCGGCGCGGCGCGGCAAGTCGGCAACCTGCGGAAGACGGCGGCGGCGGCGGCGTCGGCGCCGATGGCGATGTTTTCAGGACGGTTCGTAGCAAGAGTGACATGAGCAGGAGAGGAGAGCACTGCCGGTGCGGATGAGGTCATCGTATGGTTTTTTAGCCGCGCCGCACGCC